TTTGTTTCCGTGTCGCGGTGCGTCGTGCCGCGCCGCGTCGTGCCGCGTCGCGCCGCGCCGCGCCGCTCCTGCATCAACTCTGTACAAAGATAAACGTTTATGTGAGACGGTGGAGGCCGGCGGCCGGGAGGTCCACTTCCTGTCGGCCCAGAGTCTGGAGGAGGAGGCCAGTCCCAATGTCCTGGGCCTCCGCTCGCAGAAAGCTGCGCCCACAGAACCGGGTCTGGCTCGGTCCGGTCCGGTCCGGTCCGGTCCGGTCCGATCCGATCCGGCTCAACCACCTCAGGATCTCAGACAAAAAACAAATAAAACGCTTTCAGAGCAAATTGATGTCCATCATTCTGATCCCGGGACGTTGGAGACCCGGCCGGGCCGAGCCGGCGCTGGGCTCCGTGTTTGGGTCGGAACCGGGCCGGTAGTGCGGACGCAGCTGGAGTTGGACTCCTGCAGACTCGGCCCGGTCCAAGTGAACCTCGGCTGCAGCAGTCAGTATTTTTAAGGGTCTAGTTTTACAGTAACAGTATTTATCATTTCATTGCCTGACAATGAACGTCTGGTCATGTTTTTAACCTCAGATTCAAGAGAAAATAGATTTTTGTGCACTATTGACCATTGTGAGCTCTCTCTGTTTCTCTCTCTCTGTTTCTCTCTTTTTCTCTCTCTCTCTCTGTTTCTCTCTCTCTCTCTCTCTCCTCTCTCTCTCTCTCTCTCTCTCTCTCTCTCTGTCTCTCTCTCTCTCTGTTTCTCTCTCTCTCTCTGTTTCTCTCTCTCTCTCTCTCTCTCTCTCTGTTTCTCTCTCTCTTTTCTCTCTCTCTCTCTCTCTCGTGTTTTTTTCTCTCTCTCTCTCTCTGTTTCTCTCTCTCTCTCAGTGTGTAAGTGCATTGCGCCCCTGCGGCGGGGCCTGTGTATAGTCTTGCATTGGTTATAACCTGAAGAATTAATGATGAAAATGAATGAATTTAATAACATTGAAGATAATCTTATTCTACATAAAAAAGACAGTGAATCTAGTTGTTGTTTGTGGCATGGTTATGCATTCAATGGTCATCATTTTAAAGATTAAAATGAAAAAAAAAGTTTCTTTTCCACTGGCGCTGTTCTGTGGTGTTTCCTGTTTCTTTCCACTGCTCAGTGTGCAGTTGTTGCGGTTCCTGTTGCTTATGGTGTTGCTAAGCTCGCTTGCTCAGTTGTTTACCACCAGAGCAATATACGGTAGCAGTTTGACTCAGCCGAGACGTGAACCAGAAACCTTTCCCTCCAACATCCAACTGCATGAAACTTTGATTGCAAGTCTTAAGTGATATGATTATGGTGTTCTGTATCGTTTCTCCTAATAAATTGGATTTGCAGATGTGGTGTGATGTATTGCTCTGGCCATCCTCATCGTGCTTCTCCCTGCTCACATCCTCCTCCTCTTCCTCAGCCTGCAGGCTGCGCTCACACCTCAGATCAGCTGCGTTTCCGTTTCCACGGCTGCAAAATCTACAGGCACTTACAGCTACACTGTAAAAAAATTCACAGCAAAAACTTCTTCTATTTAGCCTGACAAGAGAAAAGAAAGTGAATGTTCATTTTCTCAGCATTTACAAATTCCAAACTAAATTTTAATTTTCTAACTAAATATTTTATTCTGACTTAAATATTTAGCTTGCTAACTATTGAGTTAGCAACAAGCCACAATGTCGGCCATTTTACATAAAGGCAGTCGATTCAAATGGAAAAGTTTTTTATGAACTGTGACCTCAGAGTCCAAAGAAGCAAAAACAAGCCATCAGTCTCCTTCCACTTCCTGTCGTCTTCTTTGGTGTTTCTGCCAGTAGTAACATCCGGGATGTCTGTCACATGAAAAGTGTTTGATCCCAACAGAAAAACTTTTTTTTAATGTGAATTTATTTTGGTAATTTCAGTTTCTATAGTTAATGGAAGCATAGTTAGCGTTTCGGTCTGAATGTTTCCTGGTTGATTTGCTTCAGATGAGTCAGCTGAGGTCGTCCATCCATTGCGCAGCTGCTGAGGTCCAGAACGATCGTTGTTTGCAGGCTGAGGCTGCGAGCAGCGGGGTCGTCCTCTCATTTCCGTCTCCATGTCCAGGTCCAGATCTGATCCTGTCCTGCTGATCATGGACTCATCATCATTCCAGGATCCTCAGGATCCAAAGTCACCATGTCAGCAGAGAACAGGAATCAGTGAAACCTGAGTGGATCCACAGGCAGATCGGCTCGTCTCCATCCAGAAGTCCTTTTCCTGTTCTCATCACCTTCCTGTCTGTTGTGCTTCACTCTGCTTGCTTCTGGCTCGCTCCATCCGGTCCGGCCCGGTCCATTTCTGTACATATCTGTGCCAACAGCTCAGGCAGTCAGCGGCTTTTTTATTTGTAAAGACATAAACTTGCTTGCATATATAAATAAATTGAATTCAGACACTTGTGTACTTGTTAAAAAGGAAAACTTCTGTGTTTGTGTCTTCATTTCACCTCTAACACACACAGAGTCAGAAGGTTCTGGTTCTGAAGAGCCGAACCGAACTTTGAATTTAAGCTTTTGCTGCCCCCTGCTGGTCAGAAAAAGTCATTTGGGATTTCAAAATTTCTTCCAACTTTACTGTCAATAAACAGCAGCTTGGGATTTAATGCAAATATTATTATTACTGTTATCATCACACAACTAGTTAAACTCGTTTTTCTGACTTTAAACAATGTTTGGAGCTGAAGTTTGGTGAACCAGTTGGGCCTTCGGAACCAAAACATCCGAACCGCCACCATTTAAAAGGCATCATAGGGTTAATCCAGTAAATCTGGATGGCTGATGCATTCTGGGTAAATGAGGGTCTGACGAGAGAGTGACGTCAATAAACCTTTTAATCTAAAAATGGATGAAATGTAGAAATCAGAGGAGGTGATGAAGATGAGGAACTAAAGGAGGAAGAGTTGGCAGCAGCGGGCCTTCATCTTCACAATGAACCAACAGCTCCGGTACCTGGTTCTGGAGCTCCGGGTCCGGTACCTGGTTCTGGAGCTCCGGGTCCGGTACCTGGTTCTGGAGCTCCGGGTCCGGTACCTGGTTCTGGAGCTCCGGGTCCGGTACCTGGTTCTGGAGCTCCGGGTCCGGTACCTGGTTCTGGAGCTCCGGGTCCGGTACCTGGTTCTGGAGCTCCGGGTCCGGTACCTGGTTCTGGAGCTCCGGTACCTGGTTCTGCTCGGTCCGTGTTTTGGCAGTAGCATTAGCTCCGTTAGCATCTAAAGAATCTTCTGTTCTTCACACCGGCGGGTTTTAGGCACTTTGTGGATAAAAACTGTGGCACGGAATTAATTCATAACCTGTTCAGGTGAGGTCACTGTTCCGTTCAGGTGAGGTCACTGTTCCGTTCAGGTGAGGTCACTGTTCCGTTCAGGTGAGGTCACCTGTTCCGTTCAGGTGAGGTCACTGTTCCGTTCAGGTGAGGTCACCTGTTCCGTTCAGGTGAGGTCACTGTTCCGTTCAGCTTTCTTCCTGTCGGTTCTTCAGAAGATGTTCGGCTCCTTTTTTGTCAGGAGGGAAATTGTGAAGTTTCAGTTCGTTGCTTTTCTTCCTGCCAGTGATAAAAGTGTCTCAATGACAGCAGTTCAGGTAACGTCATCCTGACTGTGTTTACTCTGTGGACTGATTGGACCAGAACCCGTCCTCCGCCCAGCAGCTGAAAAACGAGATTTTTGAAGTAGTTATGAGTTTCTGCATATCACAAACAGCAGTTTTTAGTCAGTGGTAATTCGCCTCATTTCAACAATGTGGCAAATGGAACAAAATGTTTTACTGTAATGTTTTCATGCAAACAAATGAACTTTAACCTCAGTAATTTACTGGAAGTTGTTACTATATTTAGTATGAAAGCCATTTTAACAGAAGATCATGAAAGCAACAGCTTCCACGAAACACTCGACCTGAAATGATTAATCGGATCAATTGATTATTTAAATAACCGCCAACTAATGTAGTAATCAATGAACTATTAGCTGAGCATACAGAAAAGACGCTTTGTGCTGAATGAACGCTGAAGCGTTTCTCCATTTCTTCTACCTCTGCCATGTTTTTCTCAATCTGGTGAAGTTTTCAGGTCTGAGAAAAGAACATGACATTTTCAAACCAGGACCTGCATCTGTTTATTAATATAAAGAAACCTGAAATGATGAAACGGCCATGTTTTTTATGTATATTTTGAAACATCGCTTAAAGGCTGATGAAACGGCAAAATTCAAATTAATGTCATCAGTTTCACAAAAAGTGTTTACGCTCTGTTGAGGCGCTTACCAAGGTCAAATACACACATTTGCTTCTACACACATTACACTCTCATACTTTCACACAAAGGCCTTTGTATTTGTAACAGATACAGGAACTGAATCATCTCCTCACTCCCATCTCCAAGCAAATAGAGTTTTAGGCGACGCAGGACATCGGATGACCACTGGGCGTGTTCTTAGATCATAAGCAACGAATCTTCCCGTTTTTAAACACATTCTGTATAGACTCGGGGCCCTGGTTTTCATTAGTCTGTGATGTAAGCGTCTCTTTTTTAGCACTAAAAAAAGAATAAAAAACGTAAAGTCTGATTGCTTTGTGTTGGCTGATTTGCTGCTCGTGTGCTTGCACGTTTTTGGTCTATTGGGTTTAGAATACATGATGGTTTTCACAACAGCTCCACCAAAGAAGAAAGGATCCAAATTTTCCAAGTACAATGTGAGAAACATTCAGGTGGAGAGAAACGTCTCTGGTCCCTGCAGCTTCCCAGTGATGCTGAACCAGTGGACAGAAAACGCCTCGTTAGGAACGTAGCTAACGCTAACGAACATGTGTTCACAAAGCAATGTGCTGCAATCAGAATGAAACTATTTAGGCACTAAAATAATTTAGCTAAAATAAACATATTTAATGTGTTAAAAATGCAGGTCAAGTCCTGACTGGTGAAACATGTTCATATCACAGCAGAACAAATCTGGCTAATTTACATAAAGCCAAGAAAACAACTGAAAAAGTCTTGAGTTCCAGATGTCAGGTAGTGATTTAAATGATGCCCAGGTTCTCATAGATGACATCGTCCAGAGGTTCCTCTCTGGACGTCGAAGAACCCGTCGTGGTTGAGGAAGTCGTCGTTGTGGTGACAGGCGTTGAGTTCCTACTTGACGTTGGTGCTTTGCAGACCTGAGCGTACAGGTGTGCGAATGGGTCGGGTTTGGGTTCAGGCTTCTGGCAGTCTGGCTCTTTTCTGGAGACGGGCTCAGAGTAAATGGGTTCATCGGACGTTGTTGTTGCGTTCTGTAGAACGGGTTGCTTTTTCTTGTCTGGGCTGATTTTGTCGTAAACCTCTGAGTAAACCGAGTCTGGAACGCCGGCCCTCGCATCGGGATTTGAGTCTGAGGCGTTGGGAAGTGCAGGGTCCAGTGACAACGGTGGCTTCAGAGGAAGGACCCTCGCCGGGTCGATGTACTGAGCGGTGGCCAGTTTGGGTACCATAATAGACGGGCCACAGTCATTTGGATCAGCATATATGGCATTGGATTGGCTCTTGAGTTTGTCTCTGGAGGTATTGTCCTGCGTAGGAATAGATGGAAGCGGCATCAAGGTGATCGGAGCAGGAGAACCTTCTGACGGACCAACCGAATCATCCAGAACCTTTGCTGTATTGTCAAACACCGGGGATCTCCGGTCCTGCATCCTCAGCTTGTTCTCCAGGATGTCAGCCTTGTTGGTCAGGTCACGGACTTTGGGTAGAGGGGAATGAGGTTGAACGTTGGTGACAAGCACTTTCTCCGTGTCTTGGCTCTGGGATCCAGAAGCAGCAGCCGGAGCGTTTCGCTTGATGTTACTCTGGATCAGGTTGAAGATCTTGTCAGCCTGCTGAGTCTCAAAGCAGAAGGTTCCAGGACCAGATTCACAGCGCCGACCTGCTTCAATGGTGAGGGACACCTGGCATGAAAACAGAGTGATGAGCGCCGGTTTGACCCTGCTCAGGTCAAACCCCAAGCTCAGGTCGACCTCCCACCGCCGGGTCAACCAAAGAACCGTCTCCCTACCTTATCATGGCCGTATCGCCTCAGTAGCTCGTAGGGCCACTCCATCACCTTCGTCTTCTTCTTCGTGTCTCTCAGCAGCAGCGAATGTTGTTCCAGCTGCAGCCAGTGCGACCCCTGCAGGCCTCGTCGCGTCGCTGCGTCGTTCTTCTGAACCACCACCCAGAACTGAGGGGCTGGAAAAGAGAGGAGGAAGTTCTTATTAACCAAACGTAGGGAATGGGCGGAGCCTATTTCTAGAGGTTGGTGGCCAAGAGGTGGAGTCTGTTTGATGAACAGAAAGAATAAAAACTTTGTTATAAAATTAATTTCGTTCACAAATTTATGGGTTCGGACAGTCAGTACTTTCACTAACCCACTAAGAAATAAAAGAGAAGCTAACTTTAGCATTTTGCTAACTTTGAAAACATTTAGCAAACTTCAATAAAGTTTTCAGATAAATTTTATAGTGTAATTTACTCGGCTGGTTTGTAAACTTTCAGTTGAATAAAGTCTCTGTTGAAGTTTTGGTTCTCAAATGTAAAGAATTATTCAGTTAGTCTGAGGTTTAAATTTATGCTCTTATTTTGAAGTGAAGGAAGACTGTTTTCCATTTTCCCCCAATAACTTTAACAAGAAACACAAAATAAATAAGATGTTGCTACTGTATAATATCCACCAGCTTTGTAGAACATATTAATGATGACGTCAAAATTTAATTATTTGTACATATAATGCTGGTGGTTTACCTTCGTCTGCTGAGGCATAAATCTGGTTCTCCTCCATGTGGACCTGACTGGATCCAGAACTTTTCTCTCTCTGTAAAACACAAGCAGAAACATTTTGGACTTTCTCAAACATTCCCAAAAATCAAATGAATTGAGACACAATAACCTGAGTGGAAATAAATCTGGGAAAACAAACCAGGAAGTGATGGTTTGAAAACAGACAGAGGTCACCTGTGGGGTTCCCCAGGGCTCCATCCTAGGACCCTCTGATTCAATGTCTATGGCTCAGGTAAGACCAGTTATTATGACGACACAGATGATACACAGCTCTACATAACGACGTCACCAGGGGACCTTTGACCCCATCCAATCATGGAACAGATGCTGAGAACAAATCAGTGGATGAGCCAAAACGTTCTCAAGCTGAACAGAAACAAAACTGGAGTTAATATCTATGGGCCTAAAGACTAACGATCTAGAGCTATAGATCTAGAGTTATACATCTGGAGTTGTAGATCTCGAGTCAGATCTTCCAGCAGGAAAGTAGAGCTCAAGTCGACCTCTGACCCCATCCTCCAGAGCCACATAAAGCCGGTTCCAAAGTGGGCCTTCTAGCAGCTGCAGAACAATCCAGGATCAGAGAAACTCATCCAGGCAGCAGCGTCTTCACGGGTCTGACGAACAAACCGATCAGAGAGCCGCAGCTGAACTTTGGTTCAGTTGGTTCTGTTGGTTCTATTGGTTCTGTGGGTTCTATTAGTTCATTGGTTGTGTTGGTTCTATTGGTTCTGCTGGTTCTATTGGTTCTGTTGGTTCTATTGGTTCTGTTGGTTCTGCTGGTTCTATTGGTTCTGTTGGTTATATTGGTTCTGTTGGTTCTCTGGGTTCTATTGGTTCTGTTGGTTCTATTGGTTTTGCTGGTTCTATTGGTTCTGCTGGTTCTATTGGTTTTGTTGATTCTATTGGTTCTGTGGGTTCTATTGGTTATCTGGGTTCTATTGGTTCTGTTGGTTCTCTGGGTTCTATTGGTTCTGTTGGTTCTGCTGGTTCTATTGGTTTTGTTGATTCTATTGGTTCTACTGGTTGTGTTGGTTTCTGGGTTCTACTGGTTCTGCTGGTTCTGGTACCTGGAAGCTGCAGTGACGCAGCTTGTCCACCCACTCCAGGCAGTCGTCTTTGGCAGCGGCGAACACCAGGGTCCTGTCTTTGGTCTCCACACAGAACGTGGACATGTTGTCCTGCAGACAGAGAGCAGCGGTTAGGATCCGACCGGGCCGACCAGAACCTGGGGAACCGACAGACCGGACCGGGGAACCGACCAGGTGGCAGGCCTCGGCATTGGGAGGAAGCCTCAGGACGGAGATCAGCTCCATCAGGTGCACCACCTTCACCTTCTTCTCCCCGTGAAGCTGGTGGGGCTTCCGCAGCTCAGCGCCCCCTGCAGTACAGATGCAGAACTGGTCACTTTTACTAAACTTGTATTTACTAAATCTACATTACAGCTGAGTAAATTAGCACTTTAGCATCCATTCAGAAAATTAATTTAGGGGAAGCTAAGTTTGCTAAATGTTAGCAAAATCGCTTCATGTACCATTAGCTCCACTGTTAGCTTCACGTTATTCCAACAGATATTCCATAACATCGTGATCATACGAGGTTCAGAGTCTGAAGAACAGCAAAGCAACAGGATCAACATTTATAACCTGGAGCAGATCCACTGAGACATGAGATACACATGAAATGATGCAATAACATGCCGGACCACTAGAGGGCGACACCATCCTGCTGGTTTACAGCGTCAGCGCTAATGAAAACTGACCTCATTCATTTTTACAAAGAAAATGTCATTTTGACTTTTTTTCCTTTGGGTTTTAAATAATTTTGTTATTTTTTTGGATTAAATTTTCTTCCTGCAGTTTCTTCAACTCAGACCTTCATGGTGAGGCCATCGGTCAGAAACCTGCTCCTCTTCCTCTCTGCTCCTCTTCCTCTCTGTCCTACTTTCTGCTTCATGATGCTAAATGCTCTTCGCAGCCCTGAGCTCTCAGTGTTGCGTAACCCGGCCACCGTCTTCCCCCCGCAGCACCACGCTGCCTCCACCTCTCAGCTCTGACTCCATGATCCTTTGTGACACGACATGATTCTTCAATCTCCCTGCGCTCGCGTCGAGTCAGACCTTCATCACGCTCCTCTTCCTCACTCTGTGGGGTTTCTTAGCAGACCAAGTCTGCAGTTCAGTTTCAAAGGTTCCTCCCTAAATTAGTCAGAGATCCTGATTTAACCTTCCTGGAAAACAGGAAGTCGAGCAGGAAATGAAACTTCAGTCATTCTGTAGTCCTGAAGGAAATCTGACCTCAGATCAGCGGCACCCTGCTGGTCCGAGCCCGGTAGTACCAAGTAGAACCCAGCAGAACCCGGCAGAACCCAGCAGAACCGGGCGGGTGGTTCTGGCTGATTATTCCAGTTCCTGCAGCTGAAGGAGCAAAGACTCAATAGACTTGAAGGAAAATAATTTTCCACTGAATTATTTGTTCTAATATTTTATTAAATAATTGAAACACAATAAAGAAACTACTTTTTTGAACTCTTGTATTTTTTTCTCATCCCTTCAACTTTCTGAGGCCTTCCAAGCCGCCATGCTGGCTCAGTGCTGACCTTTGACCTGTAACCTGCCAGTCTGACATGGTGCGACCTCCGCTTTCATAACTTACAGGTTTTCTCTGGAGTTTGTCCCTCCAGGCCACCGTAGTTCCAGAAGCTCAGGTTCGTATCATTGAGCAGATGGTTTCTGGACGGTGAACTTTGCCTGACCGTGAGAGTCAGAACCGACCGGGTCAGAACCGACCGAGTCAGAACCGACCGGGTCAGAACCGACCGGGTCAGAACCGACCGGGTCAGAACCGGTGGCTAACAGAACTTCAGCTGTGAAGGAATCTGATAACCAGAGTTTGAGCCGTTTGTCTTCTGCTGTTCTGCTGAGGAGAAAAACCACTTCAGAGTCACGTTGAAGCGTTCTGCTCTGATTTCTGCTTATTTGGCTTCATGGGGTCTGAAGCGTTGCCTGAGCTCTGTGCTGATTGGTCCAGGTAAGATAATGACTCCTTGGTGGCTCCAGTGAACCACAGGGAGTCAGAGGAGCGCGTCCTGACAGGAAGCTTACCTCCGCCGTCCCCGATCTCCAGGCGGCCCGCGCCGCTGCTGCTGGGCGCGAACAGGGACAGCCTGACCGGTTTCCATTTCTGAAACAAACAGGAAGTGAAGAAAGTGTCAAAGGTCATGGCGACGCAGGTGGAAAAAGTTTCACCTTGATGTTCAGCCGGAGGAGAAACGCAGCAGGACAAAACAATCTGTCACAGAGACACGCAGGTAAACACAGGTCAGGTCTCACACACACACACACACACACACACACACACACACACACACACACACACACACACGCACAGCGGCTGGGATTTGGACCTCTATTCCTCTGGTTCCTCGGTGTCGGATCAGGAATGTTCTGCAGGATCTGTTTCAACTTGTTGGTTTGAATTCCTCAACTTTCCTCTAAACGTCTCAGAAAAACCAAACGAACTGCTGAGCTCCAGAAACTCTGAGTTAAAATCACCAGGAAAATCAGCGAATATCACGATTTCAGATCCTGCCTCACATTTTGATCTGTTCTGACCAAACCGAGCTGCTAACAGCTAAACAAGCTGGATTTCTGCAAAGAAGCAAAGATCGACTCACTTTGTGGGGTTTGAGCGGCTTCAGGTAAACTTTCCCTGTTTTGATGTGAGAGTCCATGGAGAAGGAACCAGGAGCCGGACTGGACCGGACCGGACCGGACCACCGCTGCTGGAGGACGCAGAAACACGTCTGAGGAACTTCCTGCTCCGAACAGCATTAAGGTTGGGCCAGGAGGCATTCCAGAGACATGATCCTCACCTGCTGAAACACACACACACACACACACACACACACTGATACACACACACACACACACACTGATACACACACACACACACACACACACACACACACACACCTACACACACACACACACACACACACACACACCTACACACACACACCTACACACACACACACACACACACACCTACACACACACACACACACCTACACACACACACACCTACACACACACACACACACACACACACCTACACACACACACACACACCTACACACACACACCTACACACCTACACACACACACACACACCTACACACACACACACACACGCCTACACACACACACACCTACACACACACACATACACACACACACACCTACACACACACACACCTACACACACACACACACACACGCCTACACACACACACCTACACACACACATACACACACACACACACCTACACACACACACACCTACACACACACACACACACACCTACACACACACATACACACACCTACACACCTACACACACACACACACACACGCCTACACACACACACACCTACACACACACACACACACCTACACACACACACACGCACACACACACACACCTACACACACACACACACCTACACACACACACACATTTAAGGTTCCTGCCTGTTGTGCTGCGTCTAAAGTTGTGCAGCAATAATTTGGTTGTTTAGTCTGAAAAACTTCAGGCTTCATTTTCCAAATCCATATTTTCACCGTGTTATTAATTCATTTCTAATGTAACAGTTTCAAGCTAAATTAATGTTTTTGGATGAAGGGAGGAAGCTGGAGAACCGGAGAGAAGCCACCATGCAGAAAGACCCCGGGCCGGGAATCAAACCCAAGACCGTCTTGCTGCAAGGCAACAGGGCAACCAACTGCACCACTGTGCAGCCCACAAAGTATAAATATTTAGCTAAATATAAACTAGACATTTAGTTACCTCAAAGCTAAGTATGAAACATTTAGTTTGAAAGTGTGGATGAATGAATAATATGGTAGAAATGTGAATTAGAAAAAGGAACCCCTAAATGTTATGGTTCATTTTTTACAGCGTATCTTTACAAATGACGTCCATTAAACAACGAAGTCAAAGTCCAACATTCCTGCAGGAGGAAACTGGAGCATTAATGGGAATCCAGATCCAGACTGGGCGTGGCCAGATCCAGACTGGGCGTGGCCAGGTGGGATAATGAACAGGTGGAGGCGGGAGTAATTGAGGACATCTAGTGGCAGAAACGGGGTACAGCAAAGACTCAACCTGGAAATGAAGATGTTGGCTTGAGCTCCTGCTGTCAACATCATCTCCTCCTGCAGTATTTTCCCTTGTGCATCGATACTTGTGGAGCTGAAACAGTGAAACGGTGAACATGGGAGGCGTGTCGCCGTGCAGCTGCAGGATCAGGTGTGAGGAGGAACCTGGAGCCCCGAGTCTTCTTTGACGCGGACGTCCAGGAAGGACGTCACATCCAGCCGCGCTTACTGTTTCTTTCTAGCTTCTGACTTGTGCAGCCGGCTCTGGCCCGCGGCTCTGCGGGGGGCCGCGGGGCTTTGCCTGCAGGTCAGACTGTTTTGTTGCTGCTGGACATGATCGCTTCTCAGAGGAACTCCTTGCTGGCGGCTCTGAAAGATGCGATCTGACAGGTTTGGACTGAAAAGGCCACGGAGGATCTGCGGCGATGCAAGCTGCACCAAACGCACCAACCGCCTCAAGCTAAAGATTTAGCTTGAAGCTAAAGATTTAGCTTGAAGCTAAAGATTTAGCTTGAAGGTAAAGATTTAGCTGGCTCAAAGATAAATACTTAGCTTGAAGTTACATAGTTAACTTAATATTTAGGTGACTTACTAAATATTTCTGCTTATTTCAAAGTAAATATTTAGAGCTGAGTGTTGAACTATGAGCTGAATGTTTAGTCAGTAAACTACTAACTAAATGTTTAGTAAAGTAAATCTGTAGAAAGTTGCTGATTAGATTCCACATGTTGAGGCATCAGGCCGAGCTGTGATTGGCTGAGCTGCCCGCGGTTCAGCCAATCAGAGCAGGGGGCGGGGTGAACATCTGGGCGCTCTCCCTCCTCTTCCTCAGCTTCATCTCCGCTCCTCTCTGCTGACGGGAAGCTGCTCCGCCGCTTAACTTCCGGAGTCTCGGCGGGATGTCCACGAGCTGCGACCCGCGCGCCGCCTGAACTCACCTGGAGCGCGAGGCAGCGGAGGGCGGCGAGCGCGCGCAGGACGAGCCATGAGGCGGCGGGAAGCGGCGGGGCGCGCGCTGGTGGGCTGGAAGCTGCTGCTGCTGGTCAGGTGAGAGGAGCGCTGGGGGTCCGCGGCCCGGGGAATGGTCCGGGTGGGGTCAGGAGAGGGTCCTGCTCCGAGGGTTCTCCACTGCCGGTCTAGACAGGTTCTGGTTCCGGTTCTGGTTTCACAGGAAAATCTTCTCGTGTTTTGTCATCAGAAAGTTAAGTGTTGCTCTAGGATCACCATGGTAACGTTCAGAACCATTCGTGGTTCCTTCAGATGTGTTTAGTGAGGAGGTCCAGTTTCATTCATCACCCGCTACAGAACCACCAGAACCAGCCGGGATTACTCTGGAAATCTGCTCCCGTGGTGATGATGATGGTGGTGATGGTGATGATGAAGGTCATGATGATGATGATGAAGGTGAAGGTGATGATGGTGATGATGATGATGATGATGAAGGTCATGATGATGATGAAGGTGAAGGTGATGATGGTGATGATGATGATGATGATGAAGGTGATGATGGTGATGATGATGATGATGATGATGATGATGATGATGATGGTGGTGAAGATGATGGTGATGATGAAGATGATGGTGATGATGATGATGAGAGCTTTTAATTTATTTTTCTTGCAGCATAAATTCCTGTTTATATTTATAATTTGGTAAATGGTACATTAGATCAGTTTTCAGAATAATATAAATCAGCCTCTAGCAGAATTAAATGATTATAATAAAACCATTAATAAATATTAAAGTTTGGATATTAATTATTAACTGTGTGGACAAAACAACTGGAAGAGAGAACATTTGGGCAGAAGATGAACTGGATTTGCGTTTTTAAAAAGCTGCGTCCGGCGGCTGCGTCACTCCCGGCGGCTGCGTCCGGCGGCTGCGTCCCTCCCGGCGGCTGCGTCCCTCCCGGCGGCTGCGTCCGGCTGCGTCCCTCCCGGCGGCTGCGTCCGGGGTGCAGAAAGCGGCGTTGCTGCAGATCCTTCCTCCCAGCTGCGGTCAGACTCCCAGTCTGTCGCTGCTCCCAACGTTCCCAGCAGCTGCTGGTTCCACTGAAGGTGGTTCCTGTTGCCACAGTTAGAAATGATTTCATCTGCGAACGCGTCAGGTGTAGAAATGTAGCCGCTGGTTGTGGTGACGTGTGTTTATTCCACTTCCTGTTGCTGATGATGACATCATCTCCTCATTCTGAGTGAATCTGCATAATGACTTTATTTTGATCCTCCAGCAGGAAAAAAGTTTTTCTGTTGGTTTTTGTGTCTCTGACAGGAAGTGGGCTCAGCTTACGGGTCATGGATGGATTCAGAGATCAGATCTAACAGGACGACAGTCTGGATCCAAATCCACACCATTTTCTGACAATCCAAATCTCACATTTTGTTTTTCCCTTTTGTTTTATTCCAACAAAAGCTGCAAATATACAAACTGTTCAAATGGGATTATAGTTCCCAGCTCTGATGGCTCCGAGTGGCTTGAGCAGCTGCTCTTCATGGTTTCCATGATGACTTGTTCAACGTCCGTCCTCTGTTACGAGTCTCTGGAAACGTCCGGCCGCCTCTTGGCGCTGCTTTGGCTTGGAGTCGCCCGCAGCGGGAGGCACAGCAACGCGGGAGGGGAGAGGAAGAAGCAGATCTCAGGGCTCAGAGGATGAACACATGAAGCAAAAATGGACAAAATGGTTTCTGCAGCAGCAGCTTCATGTCTGAGCCACTCAGCGCCATCTTTACTCAGCCGCCATGTTCCTCAGTGTCTGAGCCAGATGGAGGAGAGAAACCTGAAGGTCAAAGCAGCCGGCTCCAAATACTGGAGATAAACACTTAGTTCAACAACTAAATACTTAGCTTTAGCATCAGCTTTGTATACAGTCTCATCAGGACTTTTTATAGAAGTTCTCAATGCCCAGCTTTTATTTTGATAGTCCACTTCTGCAAGTTAATTTGCAAATCATTAACCAAATATAATATCAATGCTAACAAAATGTTTAGCTAGCTTAGAGCTAATTAAAGTAGTGAGCTAATTAAATGCTCAACTTCTCCCTAAATATTTAGTTTGCAAACTAACTGTTAGATTCAAACTAAATAAATTCCTTGGTAGCAAAGTAGTTACAGTTAGCTTACTCACTTCAGCTTCACTCTTGATACTAAGCTTGCCATGAAATAGTTTAAACTAAGTACTTAAGTTAATCATTAACTAGATAGTATTTTGATTGCTGACAAATTATTTAGCTTCAAAATAAATGTTTAGTTTGAAACTGACATCTATAATTTCATGAATACAACTCTCTTATGTAAGGCTAAATAGCATATTATGCTGTTAGCTTAGCTAGCCGGTCGGTAGCTAACTCATGAGGCAACATCGGGTTAGCAGGCCAGACATTAGTGACACGGCCCCCTGCTGGCGACTCCAACTCCATTTCATCGCATCTCTGAGGAAACCAGCCAGAGCTTTTATGATGTTTATGATCAGAACTACAGATGTTCTGATCCGGAGTCCAGAACCCGGACCTTCCTTTGGATGCAGTTTATTAAAAGCTGTTTTCTGAGTGTTCAGAGCTGTTGGAGCGGGTCCAAATGATCCGGTACCAACAGGTTGATTTATCAGCGTTAAACATCTGACCTGCGGTTCACTGAAACAGACTCTGGATTAACCCGGATTATGCAGGAATATTCCTGATAATAAACCTGATGAAGGTGCAGGAAACATTGAACTGTTTATCTGGAAATCATGAGAAAAAAGCCTGAAATGTAACTTCTGATCTCTGCACTCTATGGAAGACAGATCCTGACGAAATGAATTTGGTCAGGAATAATAATACCAAATATTGCATCCCAAAAGTACTGAATAAGAACAAATGTCAGTTTATCCTATATTACAGACTATAGCATGAATTTATATTTATTACGGAATAGCATTAATTTAACTTATCACTATTATTTAATGTTAAAGTTTATTTGCAATCTTATTGTTTTATTAGTGAAAAATATATTTATTGTTAAATTTTTTTAAATGTTACTGTAAGTCAGAAATGTTACATAAAAAAAATTAAAAAAATGAAGCTAAAAGAGAAGGGAAGGGAAAAACCTGTGAATATAAGCATATTTGTAGAAAGTTGAGTGGAAGGAAAAAGTTCAGTATTGCAACAACCGCACCCTTAAAATGAAGCAGAATCCATTCATGCTTCTCCAGAACCTGGGCAGCCATTTGGGCCAAGCAGAACCAGAATCGGGCCAAAGTTCTGTTTTCAGATGAAGTAAAGTTTTAATTTCATCTGGAAGTCCGAGACTGGACAGAACCAGAGCCTGGATGGAGGTCCAGTCAGTGATGATTTGGATTAACTCAGGTCATGCTGGTTCCGGTTCCGGTTCTGGTTCTACTGATGCAGGACTTCAGCTCACACCAGAACTGAGAGCAGAGCGACGATCAGTTCTGTGAAATTGATCATTTTTATTGATCTGATGTTCTGAATTCTGGGGTTTCATTCCAGAATCACCAGAACTTCTAGAAAAAAGTGAGGGTTCCACTCTATGTGTGATAGATCTATGTCTTCCTGACATGAGGAACACAAAACACAAAACGTTTTGCAGACATCCGGCGGGTCAGCCGCCTGAGGAAGAGGAGGAGTGATGAAGGCTCCTCTCAGTAAGTGAACATTTGGCTGCAGGCGCCAGTCGACCCGCTCTGGATGTTGCGCCAGAAAACCTCCAGGCTTCTCTGGGAACCCAGGTTTATTTCAGGATGTTTGTTTTCCTCCTGCAGCTGATTAACAGGAACCAGAACCAGAACCGCAAACGGGCCGGACAGGAATCCCAAATAAAAGAATAATAATAAAGAATGAAATACATTTATGGAGCATTTCTTCACTGAAAAACTGATTTAATCCAGTGTGTGTCTAGTCAAAGCCCGGTCCAATGGGGAGGCATAAATGCTCATTCTGGGCCAAATGAGTCTCGGTTCTTGTTCGGTGAAAAGTTCGCAGACTTCGTTCAGATCTGCTGAGACGAACATTTATAATAGTAGCTGAACTGATGAAGGGAAGCAGCTGCTTCCAGAAGCGTCTCTGCTTCCTGCCCCCGCTGCGCCGCGCCGCGCCGCGCCGCGCCGCGTTATGCACTCATGCATTATGGATGTCTGGGTGCAGCAGGCGGATCGGCCGTGTTGGAGGTAGCGGCGCGGCCCGCAGGCGCCTGACCTCATCCTGGAGCAGCAGCAGCTGATGACTGCGCCGCGTAATGAGCAGCTGCTGCTGGAGCAGAAGACAGGCATGCATATTTCAGGTTAACACGCTGCGGCGAGGCCGCAGCGTGTTAACCTGGACGTCCGCTCCGCTGGACTCCAAACACGGAAGGAAATCCAGGGAGCAGAACAGACGTTGCTGCGTGTTTCCAGGAGGAACGGTTTAGTGACCGGACGGAGCCAAATGGGTTTTTGGTGTTTGCTTGACGCTCCGCCGCCGCCGGCTGAAGAATCACTCAGAGGAATCACTCAGAGTTCCTGGAGCATGAAGAAATGAAACACGACGGCTATTAAAGTCTTCACAGATGAATCGCTTTGGTTCGCAGAAACATTACAGTGGATTTTCTTCCTGTTCGGAAACTGGAGAAAAACGCCGAGCAGAACCTGGAACCACCCGGTGAAAGTTTTCATAACAAGGACAAAAACTGGCAGCAGAGAACAGTCAAAGCCCGGGAACAGTCAAAGCTCGGGAACAGTCAAAGCTCGGGAACCCGCACAGTAAAAACTGCTGGGTTAAAAATAACCCAATACGTAACCCAGCGCTGGGTCATATATGGACCGACCCAACGCTGGGTTGTTTTAACTCAACTGGGTTGGGTTGAGGGTTTGACCCAGCACATTGGGTCATAGCTGCAACCTAAAGCTTGGGTTAAATTGACCACTGCTCAAAGTTAAAATGACTCAATATTGGGTTGAAATTTATTACCCATTAAAAGGGTCATTTTACCACCATATTTTTATTTAAAAATTTTTTTTCCTTTTCTATTTTAAAATTCACTATAAAAATTGAACTAAAAACATTCAGATTAGCTCAA